TTATGTTTATATTATATTTTAATTATTGCACCAAACAAATTTAAAATAAACTTAAAATTATTTTTCTCCTTTAAATATATATATATATACTATTATTTTAAGACAAATCTAAAATAAAGAAATATTTACTATTCTTGGCACAGATGAAGCTTATTTATTAAGGTAGTAATATAGAAATAATTTTTTTACATAATTTTTTATAAAACTTTTACATATCAGTAAATAAATAGATATATTTATTATCATGAATCATAATTTAAAAAAAAATTAATCATTTAAATGATATATAAATTATTCCTAAATCATTTTTCAATTTATTAATAGTTGATGAATTAGAAACTTAAGAGTAGGAGATCCTGTGTCTAGAGGTTGAGATGCGCAAATTATTTGTGCCTTAGACTGCACTTGTATTTTATACCTTTTTATTTCATGAGTTCAGTTCCTTCGGTATCAACTGTACCACTAAAACGTTATTAATGGATTAATATGGAATGAAGTTTTATTAATGGTATTCTGATTGTTTTAATGCTTGAAAGATATTTTTTTTATGCAGTCCATGCAGAAAAGATAATTTTACTTTCATTTTATGCCTGAAAAGAATATGACAAAAGGAATTGCGTACCTGCAGGTCTAGAAGAAGATATTCAAGAAATTGGACACAAACAAATTGGGCCAAGCAGATTACAAGTAGCGTGCAACAGTTGTTCTTGATTGCAATTGCAAACCTAATCTTTCTGATAAAGAGAGGTTTGACTGATGGGTATTTTCTAAAAGAAAAAACATGATTCAAATATGATCATTACGAGATATACACTTCTATATTAATTTACTTAAACTACTTAAAAGAAAAGATACCTCACAAAATTATCAATTAAATAGCTACAAAATAATTAGGTAAAATTAAACAATATGACAATAAGGAATCTAGCAATTTGCTTAAAAATTTTGAAAATGAGAATATGAAAGAAGAGAATTAAAATTTACATCATTTCAATAAAATTTCAATTAAAAAATATTTTAATTAAATTCAATTTATAATAGCGCAAAGTTTTAAAGTAATAAATAATTTCAAAAACAACCAATAAAAATCTATAGCACAAAGACTATTACATCTAAAAAGATTTTTTTTAATTTTATTTCTTTGGATGTAAAGAGGTATATACTGTTTCATTTTATACTTCAAAGAGAGTATAATTAAAGGAATTGTGTACCTACAAGTTTAGAAGAAGGTATTGCAGAAATTAGACACTGAGAAACAAATTAAGCCCACCAAATTAGAGGGTAGCATAGAGCAGATCTACTCGGTTTTAATTTCAAGCTTATTTTTTCTTATAAGTGAGGTTGATGGATATTTTTTGAAGGAAAAGCATGATTCAAATAAGATCACAAGGAGGCATAAATTTCTATATTACTTTTCTTGAAGTGACCAACAAAAAAACGAGAGAGAGACCTCAAATAGAGTATCAATTAATTAAGTAGCTACTAAATTAATTACTAGGTCAAAGCACAATATATGAAAATGAGGAATCTAACAAATCACTCAAAAAAGTAAAAAAATAATAACATGATAATGAGAATCTAAAAAGAATTAATGAAGAAAACACAAACTAAATCTAACAATATGTCATGAATTAATTCATAAAAAACACTGACATATAGGTCAAACCCCTTATTTGCACCTTATATATATATATATATTGTGATCAACATCCTAAATTAATTTCATTCTAATTAACACCCTATAATTTAAAATGCATAAGAAAAACCCCAAATTAATTACCAAGAAAATCATGATGTAAATACAGAGTTTGATCATGATATCAAGGTGCAAATGGGAGGATTTGACCCTAAGTTTTTGAGTTTTTCATAGGTTTTAAATAGTGAAAAGTATTGATCAAGATAAAAATTAGTTTAAAGTGTTGACTGCAGAAAAAAAAAATATGTAAAGTGTAAATATGGGCTTTGGCCCTAAAATATATATTAAAGAAACAATAAAAAGAACCTTGAAGATATATATAGATGATGTACTTACAGTGTAAGATTAGCAGAAGAAATAGGTAAAGTTGGCACTGATAACCGACGTTGGCCTTGCAAAGTAAATTATTAGAAGTAGCGGCATGTTCAATTTCTGATGCGAGGAGTTGATGGGCCAACTTAGGTGAAGAAACAACTTAAATAGGCACTAGGCAATAGCAGGGTGCATTTCCTGGAAGATGCAGGGCAAACGCAAGTGAAATTAGCAAGAGAATCTTATCGTATCAAAAAGAAAGACTTGAAAGATGTAAGTGAAAAATACATGAAAATAAATATTATTTCACATCCAGTCCATATAAATATTTTAAATTAAATTATCGCCACATAAGTTTTTGTGAAAAAAATTGAAGTATAAGGTTATTATTATTATTATTATTATTATTATTATTTTGATATTAGAAGGTAAAAAGAAAGACTTGAAAGATGTAAGTGAAAAATACATGAAAATAAATATTATTTCACATCCAGTCCATATAAATATTTTAAATTAAATTATCGCCACATAAGTTTTTATGAAAAAAATTGAAGTTTAAGGTTATTATTATTTTGTTATTAAAAGGTAAAAATTATTTGAAAATGATTAAGATGATTTATATGTCCTTCAAACTTAACCAAGTTACTTAAGAAATTTGTTATTTGCACTAGGCATCATGCATCTTGAACCATATCCAACATCTAAGCAAACCAAAATTCATGTTGGATATTGGGTTTGCTAGCCATCATCTCGAAGAAGGGTGGACTTGATCACATTTCGTTCGGCGGCGTCGACAGCGATATTGGGTTTGATCGAAGTTGGGGTTTGCGGTAGAGATGAATTTTTCTAACTTGTGATCAATTTCTTGTTTCTTTCAGTCAAAATATCCCATGAATTCCCTATTATGAACGTTAATTTGCAGTTGAATTAAGTACCCAGAGTCAACCAGTGCCGAGGAACTCAAAATCCGTCGGTGCCGGCGAAGATGTTTTGAAGAACAGTTTCAGATTCTCTATGTTGTCTATTTTGGACACATGTTAATGCTAAGTAATGCACATATGGTTTGTTTTTTTATTTTTTTTATAAATTTATATTCACTTAATTAAATTAATTTATGTAATTATGATATTAAAATTAATATAAATTTTTATATTTTCTTATAAAAATTATAAAAATTAACAATAAAAAGATCTCTTTAACTGGTGTGGGTTAAAAATTTTTTTAATTTAATTAGAGTTATTTTTTTAAGTATAGATTTTATTTTATTTTATTATGATTATAGATTTTATTAAACTAAACGGTAATGAATAACTTAATTGCATTAACTTATGTATTAAGTGGTACCATTCTTTTTTCAAGTGGGACCTACTCTTAACACTTTAAGGTAAATGCTTCTGTCAACTAACAACTTACTTTTTTAGCAAAAATATTTTGTTGGTTGATTCTTAAATTTTTTTGAAATATTAAAACTTTTAATTAATATTTGTAAAAATTAATAGTTGAGTTGAAAGTTTATTTATATAGATTATATATATATATATTGTTGTATCTATGATTTTGATAATTACAAAACACATTTGAGTGACTAATTGGTTTATTTAAATATATAGTTAAGTTGCTAAAAGATTGCAAGTAAACTTGGACTACACTAAAAATAGATCAAAAGGATTGAAAATGTGCAAAGAGTCGGCTCTGGTGAAATGGAAGTGTAGAGAGCCGGCTCTGGAAGCTACAGCAGGCTTTACGGGTAAAGATTTAAAGGTCCGTTGTTTGGCACCTCGAGAAAAGACGCAGAGCCGACTCTAACTTTGCAGCCGGCTGTGAGGGCGTATTTAATGCACAACGGTCGAGTTATTTGAAGATTATTTAATGTGTTTAAAGTTGGAATCCAAAAGCTGGCTATGGGCTTTGCAGTCGGCTCTAAGCTTTGCAGCCGCTGTGGAAAAAAACAGAATGCGTAGGAATCCCGCAAAGCCGGCTGCAGAAATGGTGAGCCAGTTGTACAGAGCCGGCTCTCCTGACAATCCTGCAACTCGAGCTTTGCGTCCTGCAGAGCATTAAATGACTCCCAACGGCTAGTAACGGCTATTTTCGACCATAGAATTATAAATATGGTTGGTAGAAGATCTGAAGGAGGTTTAGAGAGCATTGCATTGAATATCTTTATCTACCTGCATGAGTTTTAACTTGAGTTTTTGATCTTGGAGAGATCTTTACTTGTAATCCTCTTGTTCTATTTGTGAGTGATCTTAGGGGTGTGATTAATCCTTCAAGAGTGATTTGTAGAGAGGATTCTTGAAGTTCAAGTGTAAAAGGATGAGATTTGAGAGAAACACCCTTTTTCTTGTAAAAAGATTGAGTGACTCCTTTAAGCTATCCTTATTGTTGTTAGTGGAGAGTATGGAGGAAATCATTGGTGAGTGAAGCTAAGGTAAAGGATTAGGTTCCAAGTAGTTGGACTAAACCTCTATAAAATCATTAAGCAAGCTCTTCTTCTCTACTCTCTTTATTTTTGGTTTTGTGGTTGCAAAAAGGGAAGAATTTTTGGAACTCTAATTCACCCCCCTCTTGGACTACATTGAGTCAACATATATCAATTTTTAAATTAATTTAATATATCTAAATCGGTTTATTAATTATACAAGATTTAAAATTGTTAAAAATACATAAGTAAATAAAAATTTTTTACTAAAAGAATATAAAAAATAAAATGCATAATCTGAACTTTCAATGCAACATTTCATTTTTCAAAATGTTAATGAGGAGGAAAATAATTGTTATACTGTCTGATTTTATATATTTATTAGCACTTATTGTTTAATTATTAAAATTTACAATTTTAAGTGTTTTACCCTTAATTTAAACTCAAAAATAATAATTTTTAACAAATATATTATAAAATATATTGAATTAAAAAATATATCACTTAATATCCTAATTAAAATGTGAACTAAACTTTTTAAAATAAGATGATATATATTACACTAATCTTTTATTGATACACCTTTCACTTTCATACACTCCGTAAGAGATAATGTAAATGTTAAATTTCAATTTTAGTACCTCAACTTTAGAGTTTTATAAAATTTTTGTTTTTCAATTTTTTTATATACCTTTATAATTCCTCAATTATAAAAAATATTTTTTTTTAGTTTTTCTATCAATCAATCCATTAAATTTATCCAAACATATATA